GGGTGCACTATAGTCGGTACCTTTTTCTTACCATTACTTTTGTTGCCATAGATTGAGTGGAATTATGACTCAATTGTTTCTTTTTTCTTTCTTTTTTTTTTTTTTTTTCCGCATTTTTTAGTATTTATGTGGATGAAATGTTAATAGTTCTNATAATTATATTGATATTGATAATAGAAAACTCAAAAAGAGTATATTGAGGTGTAAGGACACCAATGGAATGAGAACAAAGTATGAACCAACTCCCTTGGAATTACACAGACGACCAAGGGGTATAAACACCCGCAAAACAAAAGCTCTATAAAGGAGACACAAACTCTATAGAGGAGACTAGGAACCAGACTCAGTTGGACTAACACTATGGACAAGAAAGAAACACAAAAACAACACACATAATAAACAAATAGAATAACACCTTCCCTAAACCTTGCAAGCTAATCGTTCTTATAAATAACGTCTAGAATATGAAATGTAATATTAATTTTCTTAAAAAGAACCATAAATATCTAGTATACTTATGACTAATCCAAACCACATTAATTTTTTATTGAGAGTAAATTAAAATTCATCCAAACCAAATGACGAAGCATGAAAACTTGCCATATAGGATCCCAAATTATACGGGCCTGCAACTTAGGCTCAACACATTCGGAAATTATATATAGAGAGATTTTAATACAAACTTAAAATCCCACCAAATACTAATATACTAACTTTTTCCACATTAATCCTGCTAAACAAAGAAAAAAAAAAAAACAATCGGATACCAATATATCTATAAACAATCACATCCTTATCTTGGTCTATTTAAATTGATTTTGTTTCGGTGGAACTGTAATGCTATACCATTTTCTGTCTCTAACTCAAATTGTAAGGCTATACCGTTAACCATCTCTCAAAGAATGTATGAAAGTAACTATTTTATTTTCTCAATTATCTTGTATTACGTAGAAACAAGATAATTTTAAAGTGGTCTATATGTTCCTACTTATAAAGAGTATAAATATTGTTAATCTCCAATCCATGCAGTTCCCTTTGTCCGACAGTTGATATTAATTAATTCTATAATTGACAGAAGTAATAAATTGTCATCGCACCGTTTTATCAAACGGTATCTGCAAAAGGTTTTTAATACCTATCTGTCAAGTACCATCGATACTAAAAAGTCCCTTGGCTCATCATTTGAATTATTGAATCTTACACCATCTGAAAAGACAGTGAAAGAGTCTAGAATATCTTTACCAAAGAGAAAGTGAAAGAGTCCCCTAAAATTTTACGTAGTTGTTTTCTACAAGTTTTTCAAATAACTCAAACTCACACAAGCCACTGGCGGATTTAGATGTGGACCAGCCTAGGTAATTGGCTCGGCTGGATTTTATGTGCTAACTATACAATTTATATAATTAACATGTGTTAAATAAAAAATTATATTAATGTTTGTAAAAATATAAATTCACATTTATATTTAAAAATTTTAAATAAGTCTTACAAAATAATATTATTTTTTATTTAAAATGATACACCTCACCTGTCAGATTCAACAGTCTTGTATTACAATATGTTTAGCACTTATACCATATAGTAGGTTTGATAGATAAATTTATTGTTTTTCAATTATAATTGATAAATATTTAAATTTTTATTAATAGAGATCAAATATATATAATTATTTTAATTTATATAGACGATATAAATGTCAAATTATAGATCGTCAAAATATGACTAATATCATACATAAAAAATGATAACAAATATAAATGTCATTATGTGGACTATTTTGAATCATTAGAAATTAACATATAGAATTACAAAGTGTTGGTAGTTGACAATGAAAAACTCTAGTAATAAGATAATACATAAAGAACTCTTTATAAAATAACAGAAACAAAAATGATGACATTTAGGGTTTTCTTAAATTAATAAATTATATTTCAAAATAACTTGTTTATAATTTATTATTAAAAATGAAGGAAAAGTGATTATAAAATATTTTTGGTATATTTCTTAACGATAATAAAAACGTGTAATCAAATAACCAAACTTTATTCACCATTTTATTTTTGAGCATTAAGTCAAACTCAATTTGAATACGGAACACCTCAAGACACGATTTGTTCACGATTTATTTAATTGTTAATATAAGTATTTGGTGCAGTATGGTTAAAAAAAATTCAAATATTTTTTGCCCTGACTCATGAAAATTTCTGAATCCGCCGCTGACACAAACAATAATTAAAAGTGAATACTCGATCATTTCGGTGCACCGATATATGATTGAATAGGATAAATAATATAAAAAGTGCCATTCACAACTAATAATAAACAAATATGTGAAAAATCACATATTTTAAGATTCCAAATTTTATTATTACCGAAATATCCACATTCATAAAGTGACTTGAATCAATATGAATCGAAATATTGATTAGAAAAAGGAATGATGGGCATAAAGTGATAATGAGAAAAATATTTTGTTGGCATTTGGGTTAGTCACGCTTAGAATGATGATGCCCAATAATAATTATTATTATTATTATGGTGCACTATCGTCTCACGGGTGCTGCGCGTGGCTGGCCATTCTCGAAACCATTCAAACTAAAGTGGTTTCATCCTTGTAATACCTTATCATTTTCTTTGCTTCTCTTTCATACTAGTATTTGTAACCTACAATGTACAAGTAAGAGATATTAAATTAGTCATTTTCATGGACATGTCTGTTTAAATTTGAAAGACAATATAATTGAATTATTTATTTTCTACTTCCTTTAATCATCGTTGTTTTTTAATAAAAAATGTTAAACTCGAGCCTATTAGCCATAGTCTTTAAATTAATTAATAAATTATTATGTCGAATCATTTATATCAATATAAATTTGATTTTAGTATATATATTTATTCTTTGATATAAGAAAAAATAACAATATTGAATATTTTTGTTCACCCTATAATACTTAATTTATTATTTTTTATAAAATTTATTGTCATATAATGTCATTAGAGTTTTTTATAAGAGTTATATAAGTATTCTTCTTCTTCTTTTTATTTTATGTAATGAAAATATTTAATGTACGTTAATATTATTTATTAATGTAGGAAATTTAAATTATGTAAATAAATTAAAAATGAAATATTGTGTATAAATATTTTACAAAATATACCAGCGTGTTATGTTAGAATTTTTAATTTTTTATAATAATTAAACAACTTTAATCTAGAAATTGCTAAAAACTAAAGTCTTTCTATAATCAAAAGATTTTTTTTTTTTCTAATTTGCATAATAAGGTTTATAGTTTATTAGCATACTATGCAATGTAAATATATTTTATAAGAATTTCATTATGGAAAGAAATAAATCGCATAATAAGCTCCTTCTCAAAAATTTTTGAACGGATCTGAGTATTCTTATTTTCGTACACACGTGATATCCGTTGCCACCAAACGTTCCCCTCCTAGTCGAGATAATAAGCGGAAATTTTCACCCTTTCGGCCTTCGATATCTCATTGATATCGAAATATTGGTTGGCACGGCTTAGCCACACATTTTGAATCTGCCCCGCTGAACGTCGTGAGGGTCAATTTCGGCCTCTCAAACCAATGCCTCTCACAGTGATTTGAGCCCTATGATCGGGCGTCAGATTCTCCCTCGGATTGGTCACGCTCACCTCCAGACTCGGATGAATCCTCTGATGATGAATCGAAGTCGCCACCTCACCGTGCTCGCCGTCCGACCGTGTCGAGCATCAACCACTTGAGTCGGGCTATCATCTGGCTCGTAGTATAAAGTCCGTCGTTCATGGTCTTCAAACTCTTCTCCAAATTGTCCAGCCTTTCTCGATTAGTCATGGTGATACACGATCAATCATTCTCAATGAAAGCACCAATGCTAAAGATCGTGTATCGTGGTGTTTGTGTTGCTAAAACTCGCACTAACGTCCTTGGTTGACACAAGAGGTTTTGTATTCGAACGAGTATTTTTTTGATATCTTATTCCTGAATTAAATCAAAGATGAGTATATAGGCTATTTAAAGAAGAGAAAGAATAAGCCTATGATGATATAAATTCTAATCCTAAGAAAACTAAATATGATCTTAAGCATGGACGAATTTACATGTATTAGTAGGGGGCAATTGCACCCCCTCAAATTTTATTTTAATTTTTACTATTAATATTAAAAATTTTAATTTGTCCCTCCTTTAAATTTATTTTTGCACCCCAAGATTTTTTCTTTTTAAACGTTACTCACTAGGCCAACTTGTCCACAATTCTCAATTAACAATTCAACACTTCTTTTATTTTATTATTAATTTTGAGTATTAATTATTATCATTCTACAATTTTAATTGGCCCATAAAAGACTTCATCTCTCTTTTATTGCCCAGGCTAGGGCAGGTATTTTTTGACTGAAAACCGAAAAGCGAACTGGACCGAACTGAACCGATGAGAAAATAAACTGAACCGAACATAAGTCTCGGTTTTGACCCCATTAGGGTTCGGTTCTGAACCCATTATGTTATGTCTTTTGCCCCCTCTCAACTAATTTTCTGATTTCGCCCTTGAATTCTTAAGAATCTCCGAAATAATCAAATACTTATGTTACTAAGGAATAGGTCTATATTAATAACTATTCTAGAAGACTTGGCTGTCTTGTTCCTCAAGACTCAAGTCTCACCGAACAGCCTTGCGCCCCAAGTCGCCTTCGAGTTTCTCAAGTCTAGGCGCGATGGTCCAGCTGCCCAGCTAAGCTTTACAAATTAATCAAGACCGTGTATCAAACTCAATTTAACATGTGGAAGGGTTTACGTACCTTGTACAAACTTGGCATAACATGTGTACGAGCTTATTTTAAATAGGTTGGCCTTAGATAGAGGTTATCTCCTCATACATATCCAAGCCATTCCTTCCTTAAATCTAGCTACAAATGAAGTTCCTTGTCTGCAAAATATTGGCATATTGACACTGCTATATATTCAATGTACAGATACATTTAGATTGTGGACAAATTTGATTACATTAATTAATCTGGGCTTAAAAGAATAAGGTGAAAAATGACAAATTACTCCTCAGATTCAGATGACTATACACCTACATCTAAGAGATTTTTTGGACCTGAAAGGCCATTTCATGCCATTCTTGGAGGAGGAAAAGGTAACTTTATTATTAATTAATTCACTTTTGTTTTTTTTGGTTTCTTTAAGAAGACCCTAAATCTCTCTCTCTCATCCAATCAAAAAGTAACACTCTTATGCATTTAAACACACACCCACATTCCTACTCTCTCTCATCCATAACACACAAATCATTCATTCAATCAAAAAGTAACACTCTCTCTCATCCACATCATCTCCACATCATCTTTCCAATAAATCTCTCTCCATTTAAACACACACCCACATTCCTACTCATTCATTTAACTACATATATGGGACTCATTCTCCACTCATTCAATATAATTTTTTATATTCTATTCACAATAAAAATAAATTTTAATATTTTTAAATTATAACAATAAATTTTAAATGCATAAAAATAAAAAAAAAACACTACAAGACCAAAATAACTTAAATTAAGATTACACAAGAAAAAATAGTACAGTTACAAAAAATAGTACAATATTTTTTTATAGATAAAAAATAAATAAAATATAAAAATAAAAAGACTAAAGACTAAATAAATAATTATTTTAAAATACAAAAAGAATAAAGCATGCTGCCATGCTTTTTGTAAAATAAGAAGATTTTCAAATAAAAAAAATAGAAAAAGATAGCATGTGGTGCAGTATTTAAAACAAAATAAAGAAAAGAAAACAAAAAAAAATGGAGCAAATGGGCGTTCAATGAATTGAACGGATATAGGGTGGCCCACAATTAAATGAACTGCCACATTGCAGAAATACGCCAAGTTGGCATTTCAATTAACTTGAACGGGCATTGAACGCCCGCAATGCGGGTGCCCTAATGTGTAACAAATGTACGTAGTCCATGTCCATGTTTAATAAAAATCATTTTTTTTTTATATATATCTTGTATGTTTAAATATTATTTGCTAAAATTTCACTTTGTTTAATAGTGATGAGAAAAAACAATTTTGGCTTATAACTTCCAAGGGTATATTTTTCTTCTCATGTAGTAGTATCATTAGATATATTTTCCAACTCATTATCTCGTTCACCAATAAAAATGTACAGTATTCACATTTGGATTTTCTTTCCTTTCTCCATTCTTATTTTTAATAAAATTTGAAAATAAAAATAAATTATTATATTATTATTTTTCTATTACATTACAAGTAATTACTATTCTATATATTATATCACTTTATGTTAAAAAAACTATTATTGCATGATTGGTATAAAGGAATGGAGTTTGATAGGAGTGAATTGAGTTGAAGAATGAAATGAATATGGAAAATGAATGAAACAAGTTTTTCAATTGATATGATTGATATGCAGAAGGAATAAGATCTGAATGGAATGATATTATCATTAATCACTATTTTATAAAAAATAATATTTATATTAATGTTATTTTTTTATTTATGATAATAATAAAATTACTTTATTTCTTAAAAATATATACTATATGTTAATAAATATATTTTTGTATTGTTACACTATAGGTATTATATAAGAAATTAGTGAATTGTGTATTATATACATATTAACTAATACAAATATATCATTACATAAACTACTTTAAGCATATGTGGTCAAATATAATTTTTTATTTTAATTCAATTTATGAATAAATATAAAATATATATGATGTATAAGAATAAAATAATATCTTTTTAAACTATTTATAGATACATTTTTTTAGTTTTATTTTATATAAGTTGGTTTGAACATGTGCGTAGGAGAGACTTCGAGGACAGGTGAGAAGGGTAGAAACATTAGAATTAACATCGCAAATTAAAAAGGAGATGATTGACCTAAGAAAATTTGGAAGGAAACAATAAAAAATAATTTTGAATAGTTAAATTTCAATGAGGAAATGTGTTTTGATCGAGCACGATGCCGACATGTGATCCATATTGTCGATCCCACTTAGTGGGATTTTAACAGCTTGTTGTTGTTGTTGTTGTTGTATGTATGTATGTATGTATGTATGTATATATGTAATATATCTAATTAAAATATGAATAATAAATAAAAATAAATTTTTAATTTTTTATTTGAAATTTATTTTTTAAAATAATTTTATTTAATACAATTTAATCATAATTTGTAGTATATATTATATATTTATTTATTATAATTATTTGTTAATTTTATTTTTTAAAAAATTGATTCCTACAAATATGAGAATGATAAAACCTTGCATTTGTTATGGAATGACTAATCCCATAAATGCGGGTTTTGCAATTCCCATTAGAATGATCATTCCTTTCAAAAATATGTATCAATCATGGGATAAAGAATGAGTAAAGGAATGATCATTCTATTCTCATGTCATTCCCTCATACCAATCATGCCATTACTTGTTCCACTAAATTTCTTTCACCAACCATTTTTTTACTAAAAATACATGTCCAACCATACACTTAGTCCCACATATTTAAATATGTAAAAAATTCTCAAAATCCGATCTGCCATCGAACTGGTTAAGCTCTAGTTCAATGGTTCACTCGTCTGACAAGTGGTTGAACTGGTTGGACCTTTATCTAATTTACTAATATTTTTAAATATGTATATAATATTTTATATAGTAAAAATTATATATAAAAACTTTGAATTAAATATTTAGCAAAATTAAAACATTAAAATACTTAAACTTTGATCGGTTCACCAGCAACCGGTTCATTTCAATAAACTGAACCAGTTCCCGATCAAACCCGTCGGTCATGTTTAGATAACCATATTAAAGGCTCAAGTGACACATAGTCTTAAAAAATCTCAAACTAATTAAACACAAAGGACGTATTTTGTACTAATTGTCCCAATAAACTTGAATTCTCAAATCCCACTCTTCCTTGTTCCTTCCAATCAAAGTGTCACCCCACGAAAGTTATATTTATGGCCGAAATTAAACTTTTCGCTAATTCATGTATTATTGACATGCAAAAACTTTGGTTATGCAGCTGCAGACATACTGTTATGGAGAAACCCAAAATTATCAGCTGCAATTGTAATGGGATGCACAGCCATTTGGTCCTTATTCCAAGTTGGGGAATACAATTTTGTCACACTTATCTCTCATATTTCAATAACTACTATGCTCATTTTATTCTTATGGTCTTCTGGAGCTGCCCTCATTCACCGGTAAAATAACCATTAATTATTATTATTATTACAACCTTTATTATAGTTACTCCTCTCTCTAAAAGAAAAAAATTACCTAAACAAATAAAATAATTAACTTTACTTATTTATTTTATTATTATTTCAGGAATCCACCTGATCTTACAGAATCAATCACAATCTCAGAATCCACAGTTCATTGGCTGTTTGCAGAAATCAATAAACTGTTGTTCAAGTTCTATCACATTTCATCAGGGAAAGATTTGAAGACATTCTTCCTGGTATTTATTTGTAATAATTACTAAAACAAACTTGAGGTTCAGTATATTTACAAATTACCCCGGCAATTTTCTCATAATCAATATTAGCCACTTAATAATTATTTCAATTCCACAAAATTAATGGCGCCATGATGGTATTGATATGTAACATGATCCTATTTTGGGATTAAACGTGTTAGATTTCGAGGCAATCTTTAGTAATTTACCACATTTAACAAATTTTTTGGCTTCTGCTTATTATTATCTCTCCTTCAGGCAATAGCTTTCCTGTGGATACTGTCAGTGATTGGAAACTACTTTACCTCACTCAACATGTTATACATTGGTATGCTTCATTTTCCAGTACTCCTTAATCATTTTTCCTTTTTCTTTTCAACAATTCACTGATACTTTGTAAATATACTTTGTAAAAATAATATAATACTAAGTTATAAGATTGTATACAATTATGTGATTAAATCAATACTACTTTTTCAAAATTATAATAATAATAATTATTGTTTTTTTATTATTTTTTATTATGTTAGATTGCAGAGAGGAAAAAATGTGCATGTAAATAGTGACACAGTTTGGAAGGTCAATTTTGTGCATGGTTCAATAAGAAGTCGATTTAGAGAATTAAACATCAATGAAATTCTTAATTTTGGAACTAGTGATTTAATAATGATATGATAGCATTTCTTAGTTTTAACTTTTGTTTGTTAATCAAAATTGTGAAGGATTTGTTGGGTTGATGAGTATACCGGCCTTATACGAACGGTATGAGGAGGAGGTGAATTACCTTGCCAACAAATGGAACCGTGATGTTAAGAGATTGTACAGAAAAATCGAAAATAATTTCCTTAACAAGATTCCAAGAGGCTAAACTAAGCAAAACAAGAAATTCTGAGTGATAATACTCAGGTCGATCGAGTGTTTATAATATCAATAGCTCACTAGGAGTGGTATCATTTGAATAACGTATTGGTTGTCAACTATTCGCGTAAATTTTAATTTTTTATTTCAACCTTTAATAAATGGAAAATGTTGATTACAGTGATTGGAAAATTTTAGTTCGTGTTGCTTTCTTGTGGACTCTGTTTCTTGTACTTTTTCTTCTTAGCTAGCCTTGTCGGTTGTGTAGGGAATTACTTGTTATTCCTTTGTTTTCCTTGTTTATAATCAGTTGGTTATCCGAACTCTGTACATTTCGGGTTTNAAACTCCGAAACAAGTACAACCGGGCAACCAAATGGATGCATACACCACAGGGGAAGTAGCACATTACTACCCATTCATCAAGGAACAAAACAAACTAAGAAACAAGAACAACAGAAAAGAAAGCAACAGAGTCCAGAATAGCAAATACGTTTTCAGCTATAGTACAAAACCAAGAATCAAATTGAACTAATTTTCTCTGCAGCTTGTAAACCAGATTCTTGTCATTCACTTTGCAACTACATTCCAGCCAAGGATTTTTCAGGTCGAAAGGAGCTAGAGAAGTCTAAGGGGACAACGACAGGTCAAGCTTGGGTCATTGGATAGTCTGTTGCAAACTCGACCTGTAAGTATGGTTGGTCGTGAGATCGACCAGAAAGGACAACACTTAGGCTCAGAATAGACAACATTCTACCTCAGCAGATCTCGAGTTGGTCACACAATTAGGCAGTCTAACACGAAAGACTAAGGGATAAGAAGGAATCTTAAGGCGATAAGGACCTTACGCGGAACGTGGCCTAACAAAATTATGTAGTTTGGGCAGATCAGGAAGTACGAATGGGCAGTTCGGGAAGCCCACTCGGGTAGTCTTGGGCAAGAAGGTATCAACTCCCTATATAAAGGAGTGAGGTATGCGCTTTATCACATTACATTATCCATTATTCTACATGCATACAACACTTCATCTTATTCACAGTGCTAACTTAAGCGTAAGAGGCTCTTCACCGAAAAACCCCTCCATGTGAGAGTTTTTGCAGGTCTCAAGGAGCTCGAAGTCAGACCGAACCCAGCCAGTCGGAGGTCTTTTGTGTACAACATGGTTAATTTTGAAAAGTTTGATATGAGTAATTGTTAGTGGAATTTTGAGTGTTTATTAAAATAATATTTAAAATAAAATTTATTTGATGTAAAAGTAGGAGAGATGATTTGAAGTTATGATTAGTTAAAATTATGTGAGTTGATAAATAGTGAACTAAAATTAATGTGATGTATAAGAATAATTGATTGATACTACTTGACTGTATTGATAATATTGAAAATAGTTGAATCGAACTAAAATTAAGTTATATTTTAAGTATGAATTAAAATAATTTATAAATAAACTTATTTGATCATCTTCACATCTATACTTATATTAAAAGGTATCCCATTTACCAGATTTAGTATAAAGAAAAGTCAAAGGTAATTAATGTTTGCTGGAAATAGAATGACATTAATTACATATTTGTTTTGGTATTTATAACTTGACATTAAAGATTTGTTATGGGATAAAAATCATAACCGATTTTTTTACCTTTGCTGGAAAAGTCAAATGTAAGTATAAATTTGTTTTATTCCATAACATCGGTTTAGTTAAAAAAATCTCATAAAATCGATTTTAATGTCAAACCTATAAATAAAGATTTAATCGGTTTTAATAAAGCAGATTTAATCGTTTTAATAATTGCATAGAATTTCAAAGCTGTTATTTATTGTAAAAAAATTAAATTCTAAAAAAACATTTGTGTATATTTGTAAAATGCTTGTACAAAATGTTTTACTTTAAATTTATTTACATAATTTAAATTAATTACATTAATAAATAACATGAATATACATTAAATATTTTAATTACGTAAAACGAAAAAAAAAAGATTACATCTATAACTTATAATAATAATGATATTATACTACAATAAATTTTATAATGAAATAATATAAGTATTATACGAGGAACAAGATTACGTAAAATTGTTATTTTTCTTATATCAATGAATAAATATATATAAGAAATCAAATTTATATTATTATAAACATATGAGCGAGATAATATATTAATTAATTTACGGGCTAGAGCTACCAGACTCAAGTTTAATGTTCCGATAAAAAAAATGACGTTGATGAAAAGATGTAAAAAGATAGATAATCAAACTCTATTATGTGGATCGCACGAGCTACTTAACGGACAAATTTTGTGGAAATAACTCATTAATACTTATGTCTCTACATTGCACGTACATGCTTGTATATTGCAAAAGCGGGTAACCATTTTAGAGAGTCCGGGGACCCCAAACAGATTTTTTGACAACGTTTTCTGCTAAAATCGGAGTATTGTCGCTTTTAGAAGACCGTTCCTCCATTGCATTCCATAGCGCTCTCTCTCTACACTCACCCACATCACGCAGTGCTTGTGAGTATAAGGTAATTTCTAGACATTTATATTGTTCTGTAATCGAAATCGATCACTCGAAGTAGTTCGCATTGAGATGAAGTTATTGTTATCAGCATAAAAAAGGAATATCCACGGTAAATCGTGTTGTTCTCTGATTGTCCGTTTTTAGTCCGCAGCTGATCACTGTGCCGCGCGCTGGTTGAGGAGAGCTGAACTTTGGATCCGATTTTGCGGTTTGAGTTTCTGCAAAAAGTTGCAATCGACGAAGGTGATCGCTTAATCCACTTTTATTTACTGTGTATTTTGATTAATGTTTGTTAATGTCTCGGTATGACATAGTTGGATTACTCGAGTTCTCCATCAATTAGGCTGTTGTTTCGTTGTTTTTCTCATCAATTATTAGGTATTCTCTATTTTGTAGTTGTTGTATTCTTCATTGATTAGGAATTATGCTCGACTAACTTCTGAGCTGCAGCTGATTGCCATTTTCGTATGTTTACAGCCTGTGTTATTGAATCAACAGTGTAAATGTGATTTTCCTTTTTTTTTTATATATATATTTGTTAGGTTTGTTTGTTTTGTGATTTGGTAGGTAGAGTTCCATATCAGGGTGTCATGAAAAATACTTGGACTATTGCTCGATGGTAATTTTTTATATGAGTTCTTTTGCCTAGATGTTGGCTTTGTAAATCACTACAGAGAGACTCTCTCTGTTAGATGGTTTTAGAGTTAGACTGGAATCAGTTGACTATTCATAAAGCAGAGGCATAAACTCATTGTCTAGTCTGACATATGCTCAATGTAGACTTTTCTAGTTTTGTTTCTCTATGTTCCTTTGAACTTGGTTCAATTTATTTTCTTCTTTCTGTGTATCTTTTGGGTGCATGTAGAGGTTATGCCAAGCTTCTTAGGTTTGTGTAGCAAAAAAGAAAAGTAGTGCTACTTTTGTGTTGATCATTAAACTATAGTCATTTTCTTCACTAGTTGCTTGTAAAAACTGAAACGAAATAGAAATTTGAAATGAAGGAGCAATAGCATCAATCCAGTCATATCAGTTTCTAATAAAAAATTGAGTTGTATGCTATCATAACATACACAGCCATACTGACCCCCCCAATTACGCATATTTTGGTAGGTAGAATTCTGCTTTAGCATCATTTATGGCTGCTACGACCTTTGGTGCGTAGATTTATGCTTTAGCACCATGTTACTCCATCATTTTGCAGGTTCTGTACAAAATGGAAGATGGAAGTTGTAATGCTATGGCAAAACGCATGAAAGTTGCTGTATGTCTTCTCCTCGTTTTGCTCTTTCCTACTGGCAGTGTTATTGCAGAAGGAGATAAGTAATATAGAATCACAGTTCGTGTAACTAAGATTCTAATCAATAGGTGGAAGATGGGGAGACCTTGGTGGAAGATGAATCCACTGCACTGGTTTCAGTGGAAGAAAACGGACCAAGAGCTTCTGAACAAGTAAAGATTGAAATTGCTCATATTCTTGAAAAGATCAACAGCTTCACTGAAATGGTAAACTTTTACAATGTTGGTACCACAATTATCTGTAATTAATCTGAGATGGAGAATTCATGAATATGAGATGATTAATTTCTTTTACATATTCGTCTCTGCATAAATCGCCGTTTCTGGAATTATTCTGCTAGAGACTGCCTGCGACTTTGATGTTGTACAGGTGTCTGAGCTGCTAGAATCTGGGAAGTCCATGCTGAAGGAACTGAGCAATGATTTTGAGGAACGCATGATTTTGTAAGAGAAAAAATTAAAAAATATGTAAAAACTTAAAAGAGCATGTAAATGTAACCACAAGAAATGAGAACATGCATTACCTACTCATACTCTTGCAATTTTGATAGGATACACAAGGAGCAGATTCTGAAGTGGCATGAGGAAATCAATGAACTTCGCTCGCTTGATGCTGCAAATGAGGATGCCGATGCTCTTTTGCAGAATGCTAAATATCTTCTTCAGAATGCCCATGCTGGCTAGCTCCTTATGTAGTGGATGATAAGTGTCTACATTTGACAGGAGATCCAATTCGAACGATTTTAGTACTTCGTCTATTTTGGAACAATTCAAGTGTCTCTTGTAGTATAATTGTAATTAGTAATGACTTCAATCTTGTATTCAGTTTCTTAGTTTGGTGTACAGTGTCAGCAACTGTTATGACCATGTTAAAGAGATTTGAGACATTAACAAGTGTTGGATCTGTCAATGGTTTAGCTGAAATTCGATGCTTTTCTAGCTTTGCATGGTTATCTGAGAAAAATATTTTAGTGCTTGGGAAGTTACATTGCATGGAATCTCTCTTTCATTTTTCCTTTACAATATCTGCTTCTAAGTTGAATAGTGTATTGAGTTTTTGATATGATATCTGAAGGTGAAACATCATATGTAATTAATCCCTGTGTCAACTTGCTTAATTTGAATCCGGATGGTGATGTTCATATTTTTAAAGTTGCTGAATGATGGGACTTATGTTACAAATTATAATCGATAGTGGATATATTACAGTAGGAGTAGTTTGGCAGTATTATCAACACACATGATTACCAGTTTGCCAGTTGCACATTTTTCCCGATCAGTTATCTAAAATTTGCAGCACTGCACTGATCTCATTTGCATGAGAATTTCAACAAGCTCAAAATCTAATTAGTTTGCTTGCATTACTTCTGGCAAATTTACATGTTTGCTATGTGATTTAAGAAGAATTGCATACAACGATTAAGAGAGAAATATTAACATTAAAACGAAATCAGCCTGTAATAATTGTGTTTATGCGAAAGTTTATGTTACAAAAAATAAAAATAAAAAAATAAAATAAAAAACGGATTCTGTTCCGTTATTTCCGTAATTCATGCGGCCAAATAACAAAAAAAAAAAATATGTATGGAAGAACTTATAATTAGGCAGGCGGTACGGTTCGGAGATTGAGAAATCTCCGGAATCGTATCAAAATTTGGAGATCACTAAATTTGATATCTGGAACCGTACCAAAAAATCCGGACGGTTCGGTTAGGAGATTTTTATTTTTTGGTTCGGTACGATTCGGTAATCGAGACTATCGGAACGGTTCCGGTCTTCAGAGATTTCTTATTTATTTAATTTTTTTAATGACTACCTAGTTATATTTTAATTTTTATATTTTTTAAAAAAATAAAACAACATTCATCAATGTTTCATCATATTGAAGATTTTATTTTGAAATCAACTTTAGAAGTAATTCTAACTTTTAATTATTTAATTTGTATATGCTTGAAAAGAAAAAAAACAACATTCATAATACTTCATCATATTAAAGATTTTATTTTGAAATCAACTTTAAAAATAACTCTAAATTTTAGTTAAGGCAAAATTTGTGCAACTAATATTGAAAATTTAAAATTCAAACAAAATATAACATAGTTTTTTCTTAAAAAAGTATTCTTTAACCTTTTATACCATTTTAAATAGTTTATTTATAACATAAAAAATTCAATTGTAGATCAAGTATTACTAATCATGAAATTTATAACTATATTTTATTTGCATTTTATAAAATATAGGATCAAAGGTGACATAAACTATATCGATACACACAGCTAATGTTATAATTCGGTTATTAATTTCGGTTCTTCGGTTTGATACGGTATCAGACAATTCGGTTTAGTTCTCGATACGAATATTTGTGAAATCTCCAGAACCGTACCAATTATTTTTTCGGTTCGAAGAAAGTCAAACGGTCAACGGTTATTTTTCGATTCAGAGTGATTTCGGTTTGGTTTTCGGAACGGTTCAGAATTCTCCGAGTTCCATGCTCAGCCCTACTTATAATATTACAAAATTGATCAACAACTTAACAAGGATTTGGAAAGACCTCGAAATTCAAATTTGAAACTCAAAAGTCATCAGAGAGAGAGAGAGTCGATCGACATACATTTTTCTGTGCTCAAGAGCAAAGAACACATATACGGTATAAACTCGAATTATCATGAAAGTTAATGGTATATATTATATTTCGTGATCACATAAATACTAAAATAGTCGTTTTTATTTTTATTTTTTGGTGTAATATTTGTTTTTTAACAAATGGATTCTACCATGATGATATTCATTTATCACAATGGTGACTGAATTCAGAATGGATACTAATATTTTAATTTATCTGGTGTGTTGGTTCAACAAAACTGCAGCTACAACGAACTCTGCAGCTTAGTGACTCAAAAACTTGGAGTTACGTCGACCGAATCTTGTTTAGAGTTAAAATATCAATGTTAGCTCGAGAGCCTAGAGATTAGAAATTATAAATGCGGGGGATTGGCTGCCCAGGCACGTGAGTTACCAAAGTTGTCTAAGTTTTTCAAGATCAGAGAAAGTAATTTATCGCAGTTCGGGGTAGGTCGATAAGTTTATTTATGTCGTTTGAAGAAGTAGCAAGAGCACTTGGAGCGTGAAAATAGTCACGTATTTAATGCAGCAATGATCTCGAGGTACTAAGCTCAAGGGCCAAAGAAGGTTAAATAAAAGCAATAAAGTGCAAGAAATAAAAAAAAGTGAGCTCGTAAAAGAAAAGATATTACCTTACAGCAAAAAGAGTCTTTACAAAGGCAAGTACTAAAGCCTAGAGGCTTAGGGAGGAGTCGAGGAGGTCACTTCTAAGACTGGCCTGTAGAGTCACACGTTTCATCACTGCGACTAGAGCCGGTTACCCTTCTCAGCCGTAAGGATTTTGCAGGCCATACCAAAGTTGATCCTCGTCGTAGGTTCTGGAGAAGCCTCAACCAGCTTGGATATGAAGTCTGCGCGAAGATTATAAGAATAGTTAAATATTAAACAAGAGAATAATAAAGAAAAAGGAAAAGTAAGAACCTCCAAAGTCAAGGACTATCTATGTCAGAGATGGGTTTGCACTGTAAAGAATAAAGGAAGCAATACGACCTCCCTCTGTTAGGCGTCATCGATCAGATGGTTGAGGTCGTAAGGGGTTTTGGTCCATTTTGCAATAAGTTATTGGTAAGCCTTATTTGATTTTAAGGGATTTAAGTTAGTTGGGATTTTCGAGAAGCCATTCAGGTGAAAGTTACATTGTCGAGAATCCATTCATGTTAAAGTCAAATGTGTTTTGATGAGGTCGGACGAAGAAATATCTCAACTTTCAATTCGTAAAGTTAAAGACCGGATCAGCTATAAAGTGTGTATTTTTACGCATGAAGAGATAAATAGGTGATATAACAACCAGAATAGCTCGGCGGGCAGACCTGAGTGGCCCAGACGAGCTCCAACTTTCTAAGAAGAAGTCAGACCAGTCAAGGAGCTCGCGAACGTAGCTCAAGATACTGGTCGACCTGATAAGATGACCTGGTGGCTATGACCTCCAGGAGATCGGGCAGGAAGGATGACCTCTGGATGTCGAGGTAGCAAGTCAGGAGGTCGGGAGTCGACCTCAATAAAGTTACAATAATAATGTTAGGAGGTCGTGGCTATGACCTTGGGACCTAAACGTTATATGATAAAAGGGGACAGAATCTTAGTAAGATGGAAAATATAGCTTGCCAAGGAGACTTTCATGGATAGAGACGTAGTAAGTTAGGCAAGAGGATCTGGTTAGATCTCTTTCCTAACAATGGCTCTCTTGGACATCAAGACACTCACCCTATATAAGGGTAACCTGATTCCATGTTAATACATGATCACTATCATCCTACTTTACATATTGTGCATATGCTTTCAAGCTTATTCTCTTGACTTGAGCGTTAGAGTGTTTACGCTGGGACCCACTCTCGGCGCATTGCAGGTCACTGAATCTTGAGGCAAGAGGGAGTTCGAGGATTGATCGATTCAGACCGGTCCGTGACAAATTGACACATCATTAGCAATCCACAAATCGTACGATCTTAATCTTAAACTTTAGTATTTGTTGCGCTTAGAATTAAATTCTTAACTTTCAATTTGCGAACAATTAATCGACATTTTTCGTCAAACCTAACCGGAACATCAAATAAATGAGTTTGAACGATAAATTATCGGATTGTTTGTCGAGTCACTATGCGTATTATTTACTCAAGAATAAAATTCTAATATTCACAACATGTATTTTATAGATTAGAAATGTTATAAAAAGTAATGGACTTTTATTAGTCTATGTCTCAATATATGAATCAACTATCAGTTTGGAATAAGAAATATAAATTCTATCTTCGAGATTCAAAAGATCTAAAACTATTACTTTTGGGGCTATTCAATGTAATATTTATTTTTGTTAAGGATTTGTTACTTGCTGATGGTTCTCACTGGAATGAGTGGCTGGTTAAGCAAGTCTTTAACCATGAGGATAGCTCTGCAATAATGAAAATCAGAACTGTTAGAGCAGACTCACCTGACAGACTCTATTGGGCTCTTGATAAGAAAGGCAAATTCTCTGTGGCATGCACTTATGCTCATTTGGTGGCTCAAAAAGTTAGGACCTTAGATCAACCAGAATGCAGTCAGATTCCCAATCCATGGCCTCTAACTTTAAAAAGAACTTGGTCTTTGAAGGTTCTAATGAAAATCAAAAATTTTATTTGGAAATGCCTCACAGGTGTCTTGCCAGTGCTTGTTAACTTGAAAAAAAAAAAGGATTGGACATAGATGTGATCTGCAGATGTTGTGGTGAAGCTACTGAAACAATCGAGCATGCACTTCTTCAATGTCCTAGAGCCTGCACCATTTGGGACCTGGCTCCAGTCTCATGGCCTGACCTTCATCACTTCAAATTCTCCTTCAGATCTTGGTGACAAGCCATCTGCAGCATTGGTCATTCAGAGTTTGTAGAGGAGAGAATCCAGCTATCCACTTACCTTCTCTAGTGGCTCTGGAAGACCAGAAATCACTGGATTTTCCAGCATTCTATTCCTCCTCCCCACATTGTCATCAAAGCAGCAATGTCTGATTGGGGAGACTTCTCAGCCGCAGCTTGTGTTCCATCATAGTGTCTTTGATTTTGCTTTAGTCTGTATTTTTAGCTTTTGATCAGGGATTAGCTAGGCTTTGAGGCAGTGGCTTCTCTTCTGTTCTTTTCTTATTTTTCAGTTTCAGTGCTTTTGAGTTTTCACTTGAGGTTCTAGGCCATTTTGTGGATGTGCCTCCCACGTTGTTCTTGTTGTTTGATTGTACATTGAATTTTGGTTTCTTTTCAGTTAATAGATCTCTCTATCGTTCCGGTAAAAAAAAATATAATGTTTATCAATTGTATCGAAATATCTTAAACTACCAATATCAAAAATATAAATAATAAACATGAAAATATAAATAAATTTTAAAAAAGATATGA